CAAAGAGAAGTTTGCAAGTTGCTAATCCAAGGAGGTGCTAACATTGATGCTAAAGATGCAAACGGAGAAACGGCACTGCACCTAGCTAGTCAGGAGAGACACAAAGATATCGTACAAATCCTCGTAGAACATGGTGCCGATGTCAACTTGCCCACTCGAATGGGCGAGACACCGCTTCATTTTGCTGTACGAGCAAGAGTATTCGAAATTTTCAACTCCATATTCGGAAGAATGGGTGACGTGGATGCCCAAAGGGGTAAGGGAGAAACGGCACTGCAGCTAGCTATTCAGGAGAGACTCAAAGATATCGTACAAATCCTCGTAGAACATGGTGCCGATGGCAACATGAAGATTAAAGGGGGTGAGTCACCGCTTCATTTTGCTACGCGAAAACGACTAAAAGAAACTTGCAGAGTGCTACTCGAAAGATGAGTTGACGTGGATGCACAAAACGAATATGAAGAAACGGCACTGCACCTGAGCCATTCAGATGAGACACGAAGATATCGTACAAATCCTCGTAGAACATGGTGCCGATGTCAACTTGCAAACTGTAACAGGCCAGACACCGCTCCATTTTGCCGCTGAATGTGGTCAAATACGTATCATGGAAATTCTTGAATTCGGGCGTCAACATCGATTCCATAGATGAGAATGGTAATACTGCACTTCATCTGGCAACCTGCGCCGATCAGTACGAAGCCGTTCTGACTCTCATAGAAAACGGTTCGAACGTAAACATTGTTAATAAATACCATGAGACAGCGTTGCAATCACAGTGGTTTAGAACTATGAGTCACGACAAACGTTCCGTTATCCAACCACAGCTATTTAAAATGCAGATTGCTAGCTTGGACGTGAATAACGGAAATGTGGAGAATACTAATCTTACTACGGATATAAACTGGCAATCTCGGTTTCAGAAGAAATGTATTGAAGAAATACAGAGAATGAAAAGCACAAAAATTAATGGTACTATCCTAACGTTCTATGATATCCTAACAAAACGTATAGATCAAATAGCATTATACGCGAGAAATAAAGATATTGTTCAAGTTTTGAAACGGGGCAAATACCAGAGAGAATTTCCTACGTACGAAGACATAATAAGATGTCGTTTCAAAAGAGGTATGGTACGAAAGAAGTTGTTTGACAAGGGCGTTATATTTTTCCGCCGTTATTTCAGTAGAAATTGTGATTTACATTGTATTCAAGGAATATTAAACTACCTCAGTAACAAAGACCTAACGAATTTGAGGGATGCTTGTAAAAACGTACGGTCTAACATTAATGATGTAACGAAACGGGAAACACTGTAATACTTACTACTTACTATTTTTGTAATTGTTCATTTTAACATCTTGACACTAATAAATAATCATTTTGTGCTATTTTTACGATATTTTCTATCTTTCCTTTTCATTTGTACATCGATCTGTCAATTATTTAATGTATGTACATAAAATAAAAATGCCAATTTTCATTTCCATTAATTTATTAATCAGAATTATACATTTTTACAGTAAATTAGATTCGAAACAGAGGAAATTGATTTCAATAGAAGTCCGTTTAGACAATGTTATGTTTTCGGTTTCTGGTTCGGTAGTTCCATAATTAGTCAACAAAAATTCTGATTAGTAAATGAATGGACACGAATTTTGGCATTTTTATTTCACAACCCTCGACCGAATGAACAATTTTGGAAGTGTGTATTTAAGATCGAAAACTATCCCTCCTTTCTTTCAGTAATACGTTTAAATACGTACGTGCTAATGAATGTTAAGATGACTTCAGAAAACTATTGCTGAGATAAAACTATTGCTCGGATGAATCGTAATTAATAAATGAATAGAAATGAATCTTGGTATTTTTATTTCACGATTCTTAACCAGATAACCGAATGAGCAGTTCTGGGGGCGGCTATTATAAGTCAGTAATTACTGCCTTTAAAATCACCCGAGTAACTATGGAAGATTAATGGAAATGGCTAAATTCTGATTAATATAATATGTTCATGTAGTAAAAAGATATGATTTTTCTTTATTTATTTCTTCAAGTAAATTTCGTTTTATTGCAGTTATGATAATAATACATGTTTGTTACATAATAAAAACAGATGAGTAGCATTTTACGATTTACTATTACTCTATCTTATTTTAATGTTTTCCTATTTTTATATTATATCTTCTAATTTATGTGTGATGCATCATATAAGTACTTCTATCTCTCTATTAATTCTCTATTTCATTCTTACTAAAAGGAGGCCCAAGGAGCTCTCGAACTCCTGGAAGTAATATTGGCGGACAAATTCTGAGATCCCTGCCGGTAGGACCGGTGGTGTCGGCGAGGCCAGTCACGGGCGAGGCTAGATAGGCTAATGCTTGTGGGAGCGTGATGGGGGAAAGCCCGGTCGGCACCTAGTGGAAATGATAAAGCCTGGTCCGGCAGGCATCTCAGAATTTATCTCGCACGGCTCGCTTCCCCTCTTTTTCGCCCGTATTTCGATCCCCACTACTATTCTCCTCATGCGCTTTCGCGAATGCGTGTCTAGAGCGTGTATAGACCTGTCTATAAGATCGTGATCAAAGCAGATCCCTGCAAAATTTAGCTTTGGCAGCACCATCGAATTGGGGACGCCGAAACCTGGGCCGTGAGCAGGGATGCCAGAATGTAGGATTTCTCCTCTTCCCGAGCTGTCCCCCACTACTTTTCTTTGTCCCCACTTACGTTTCCCATGATTATTGGGAACACGTCTAATAATGCTCGTCAATGAGAGCTCGGTTAGAGGAGAAATCCTACATTCTGGCATCCCTGGCCATGAGCACTCTCAAGGCCCTCTCTGGTTCATTAATAGTGACTACATCTCACCAGAGGGTGCTTTGAACGTGTTAACGAAATAATGTATTGAGTGGCTATACTATAAAGGCTATACCCAGGATTATTCTGAAATCCCAGAATCCCTCCTGAATCCATGCTTGAATCCGAATCGAGTATGTCGTGATTACAACTGTTTACCAAACGAAAATGTAAAATTTCATTTGGACTGTTATTAAATGTTAACATACTCATCTGTGTTCGTTACCTGTTACACGAGTGCATTCATTTATGTGTAAATACAGGAATCTCCTTTTTACTAATAATATAACGTACAAAGAACTCGAGCAAAATGACAAAACACTTGGAACACATATACGACGTTTTACAAAATGCAAACAGCAAAAAAGTAACAGACAGAAGGGTACGTATTTTATATACAATTTTTATAACCTGCTGTGCATTGTATGTGTAACATCATTTTGGTAAGTCATTCAATTTATGCTTCGAGAACTTCTACGATTTTTAATATCTTTTTCACAAAAGTGTACATTTAAAATTTCATTGATTTCTACTTTTCACTTTAGAACTGCGTTGGGAGTCTATTACACCTTTACGAGAACAAAGAAATCATCGCAGAGATCTGCGAAAGTTCGAAGCATAATACAAACATTGTAACTTGGTCATACATAATCCATACAATTCATAAATTGCTAATTAGCGTAAGTATGACTCTGTTTATGCATTAATTTCGATAATAATAATTGTTTATTTTCATCCCTTTCGGACTTGAAAGGGATGTTACATTTGGCGATAAAATATACTAATTGTCTCTATTTAATACTATAATATTTTATGTATAGTTGCCATTGGTTCATGTANAAAACATTATACAAAATTTATGTTCGAAAGTGCCCAGGTACTACCTCCTTTACATTATATGTTCTTTTCGTCATTTTCATCTAAATGTCATCTTCTGTTCTCTTTCTTCGTATTCTCTTTTTAAGTCTTTATTCTTCTCTAATTGTTTTGTATCTTGGGTTGCATCTGATGCCTCTTATTCTTTCCTATTGCTCTTGTTTTTAACTGCCCTTTCCCACTTCTATTCTGATTTTCTTTAATTTTGTCTCTTTTACATAATACGTATATGCTGATGTATTGAAATCTGAGCCAAATGTCCACTTTTATTCTGATTTTCTCTAATTTTGTCTCTTCTAGCATAATACGTATATGCTGATGTATTGAAATCTGAGCCAAATGTCCACCTCGCATACTTTTCTCGTATGTTTTCCAGTCTCTTTTTCTCTCTCTTCCCATTCTCAAATTTCTGCTCCATGTAAAAAGACGCTTCTAAATAGACCATTGAAATTGTTTCTGATTTTAATCACTTCTTTTCCTTTTCTTAGTATTTCATTTTGTAAAAAACGTGATAATTTTCCAGATGCCTCACTTCTTCCTTTATCACTGTGTGACTACTACATTAATTTTAATATATAATAGCTATTATTGTTTTTGATACAGGAAGCTGATCGACTAGCTTCCAAGGAGATCAGCAATAAATCAGAAGTGGAACGGAACATATGCCTGCTAGTAGAAAACACGTTTCGGCATGCAGACTTTAATAAAAAATCATTGCTGAAGTGCAACGACGTGATGCCATTAATATTACAAGTTATAAGCAGAACTACGTACAAACCCTATTACGATACGTACTTGAAGGTATTAATTTCTTATGTACTACCGCTTAGAATACATCAGGTAAACATGTTACCTGAATTTTGGGAGGAGTTACTTGATGTACTATGCAAATTGTACAAACACGTGTCCTCTGTCATAAGTAAGAGAGCTGTTTTGGATGCTTTACACATGAGTGTTCAATATGGTTGTTTGCATTCAAACGTAAACTTAAACGTATCAGATATATTGTCTTTCATAGGTACGTAAATTAGATGTTTTATAATGAGAGTGTCGATCATTTTCTATTTAGTATTTTCAGTTATCTTCTTGCGGTTTCAGAATCTACTTTGCCTAGTGTAGTAAAGGCTCAAGAAGTTTTGGCGGATTCATTTTATAAACTTACAAATACAGTGTGCCGGCACATTGCTGCGGAATATAGAATTGTATTATGCCACTTCAGCGAGACTGTTTCATCAAGATTGAGCTCGTTGAAAGGACCCATTGAGAAGTACGAAGTTTTATTACTGTTCGTACGAATTCATCATCCCGAGGGAGTGAGCAAAGGTGATGATCGTGCTTACGCCAATGATTGGACACAGTGGTATGCGGAGCTTAGGAATATGTACGTGAACATTTTGAAGGATTTTAAAGCAGGCGAGCTACCGAGAACCTTCGTTCGTTATGCTGCTGAAGGTGAATATTTCTATTTTTTCAAACTATCTAATATAATAAATTATTCCCTCTGTTCCATAATAATAATAGCAAAAAAAAATAAATATAGAATGCAACGTTTATTATTAAAAAACTAGTGCTTTATTTTGTATAA